TGTTCTCAGAGCTGTGATGCGTTTACTGTCTCTACAGTTTGTGGTGGCAGTGGGCTTCCTGCTGGTGGTGGTCCTGGCCTTCACCTACCCCCAGAGCGCCCCCCAGCTCGGACTGGTCAATCTGGGATGCTACAACTGGTCGTCTCCCCTGAGCCACGTCCGCCTGCTGTCCCTGCCCATCGCCAAGAAGTACAACCTGCAAGGTGTGAAGCCTGAAAGCTCAGTAATAGTCTGTTAGTAGTTTATGATGTCACCAACTAACACACACCTACAGACAGGTGTGGAAATGTTTTAACCCTCTGAACACTGAGCAGCAGTTTCTGGGTGTTTTTTCTTTTCTTCTGGCTCATTTTTTTCTGCAACATGAATTCTTGCACCTCTATGAAAGCCATGAAGAAGGAGAGAGAACTGATGCAGCTAGAATGACAGAAATCACCAAAAAACTGTACAAAGAAAGTTGAAGAATTTTCATTGCATGACTGTTTGTCACAGCTGAGTCACTCCTGGCTTCATAGTTGGACCAAGACACACAGAATTTTTTGCTTTTTACACAATCTGGTTCGAGCAAACGGTTTATTTGCGGCGAATTTCTGAAATGAGACACGTAGAATATAATGATCTTAACAAAATATCACATTTTTAGCCTTTAGTTTTGCTCAGGTTTTCCCACTACATCACACTTGATTACTTCAGTGACTGTTGGAAAGTTGAAAGACATTTTTTTTCTTCAGTTTTTACATTTTCTGGCTGATAAACAATGTGCTTATGGTTATTTTTATTTTTTGTATTTTTGCAATTTTGCCTGTGAAACTCTCTTGCAGGTTTTGGGGTTCAGAGGGTTGACGTGCTGCAAATTCTTTTCTTATTTATAGTTCTTTAGGGTAATAAAGTGAGCAGGTTTAGTGCACTCAGTGAACTGAGGCCGTTAGTTCATCCAGAGATAAACGGCAGATTTCAATCGATTAGTTAAAGAGTCGGAATGATTCCAGTCGATGATTTTTTCTTTGGCTTGTTGACATTATTTTGGACTACATAATTGTGATCTTAGTTTCACTTTTACATGATAAATTCTAATCAATAAATCACTATGAGCAGATACGTTGTGTTTAAACAGTAACAGCAGCTGAAAGTCATGTTTGTTGTTGAGCTCCAGCGGTTTAGCGTCTCACCTGGACTCGGTGAAGTACGAGTGAACTTCACCGACTGACTGAATCTGATGTTTGTGCTGCAGGTTTCCATGAGTGGTGGAGCGCCGGTTCCCTCAGGCAGAGTCTGGTCAACTGTTCCGGCTGTGCAGAGATCTCCTCGGTGCTGGAAGTTCCAGAGAGCCTCAGAGGAACCGTGACGCTGCGACGAGGTCCACAGCTGGTCCTGCTCAAGGTCAGAGGTCAACTCAGTCTGCTGTCGCACTGATGGATGCAAAGTTAGCAACAGCTGTTAATAATGATTTTGGGTTTTTCATTTAAACGAGTTGAGATAGAGAAGATTCAGCTTTTCTTTGAATGTTTTTATCAACTTTGGTCAAAGTAGAGACTCAGAAATCTCCTGGATAAAGTAACCGTGTCACAGGTTTATGTTATGACATATGACATTACGAACTAATTATCACACATTTATTTCAACGGTATTTCTAACAAATCAGAGTTTTCTGTCCGTGTCATGACTGCTTTAACCCTCTGAATCCCAAAACCTGCCGGCAAATTTTGAAATGCATGTCATCTTAAAAAAGAATCGGCAAAATTACAACATTTCTTAGAATCAGAAACTGTAAAAGCAGAAAGAATCATCAGATTTCTGACGTCACAAACGCGTCCCATCAGGAAAATCTACCAAACCTGTGGGTAAAATCGAGATATTTTAGTAAAAACTCACTTTATTCTACATGGCTTATTTTTTAAAAAATCACCAAAAATTGACTGTTTGGTCTAAACAGATTCTGTAAAAAGCAAAAAAATCTTCGTTCTTCTGTGTCTCAGTGAAGTTGTCAGTGATGTAGCTGCAACCAACATTCACGTGACAGAAATTCTGGGACTGTTTGGCTGAACTAGAGGCGGCGTTTACACAGAGCAGAGAGGAGACGAGGATGCAAACAAAATATAAATAGTTAAATGTCGGTAGTATGTAGTCATAATCATATATTGCAATGAAAAATGTGGCAGGAGCAAAGAAATGCTCAGAAACTGCCTGAAGTGGGCTTGTTTTATTACCCTAAGGTGTCTCCTGGCTTCCCTAACTCTTTTCCTCCCACCGAGGATGAGAGCTTCAGGATTAGTTTCTTCATTTTCGTCGCCTTCAGACGCCTCCTCGTCTCCTTTAGGGATCTGAGGATCCTCCATGATGGTGTTGGAGGAACGATTTCTGGGTCTCGAGAGGATGTTCAGAAGCATAAATTAGCATAATAAAAAGCACTCAGTGGGTTTTTCCTTCCTTTTGTTTCACTTAATTCCTTTAAAAAGGAGCTTTCAGAGACTTTAGAAGAAATAATCCGTCCGACTTAGTGTTCCAGCTGATTTTATCGTCTTTAAGTTGAATTATTTTTGCAGACTTTTAAATCCAATGACAGTATGGAAAGTGCTCAGCTCCTCCCTGTCTGTTCGTACTGGTTTCTGTCTGTTCATACTGGTTTCTGTCTGTTCATACTGGTTTCGGTGCGTCCCCGGTGCTCTCTGCAGGGCGGTGAGTCCCTCAGCGTCCAGCGGCAGCAGCTGGAGGAGCTCTACTTGGCCCACTCGGGCTCCATGTCCATCCTGCTGGAGGAGGACGACGGCCTGCAGAACCACAACCTCGGCCTCCCGCAGGGACCCGCGAACTTCACCCTGCTCTGGTACACCTTCAAATTACAAGCTCTCAAAATACCACTCGGTTCTCAGTTCTGGTGATTGATCAGGTCGAGTAGAGGCTGCATGGTAGTGGATTAAACTGACAGAGAATTTTTAGCAAAGGATCTGAACAACTGTATTTGGAAAGAATGAATCTTTTTAGAATGATGACGGTGATTTTGGAAAGTAGTGACTCTGCAGAGAATATAGAAAATAATTCACAAAAAGCTTTAAAAAATAAAACAAACCTGTGTCAAATGGTTAAACACTGACAAAGACATGTGAAACAGGGAGTAAGAACTTTGTCCATCTACAAGAGAAAACTGGAGAAAAGTCTTTAGGAATTGTTTAGTTCTGATTATTCTTAATTATCACTCATGTGGGTTAAGGATCACTACGTCAGAACTGATCAGAACATGTGTTTCCGTCTCCCATGAAGCTCATTTACTTTTTTTTTTTTGCAAAACAGGGGAGTTGTTTTTGCTGTTTTCATCATTTTTTCCTGAAGCAATACTTCAAAAACTGTACCGTGTGAAAGCAGTGGTCCCTGATGTGTTTGTGTGCAGGAGGTTCAGCTCTGGCACCAGGGAGAAGGTGTTGCGGTGGCTCTTCCCGAAGGCGGAGCTTTGCCCGCTGCTGGACAGCGCCGGTACCATCCTGCAGCGCTGCCTGGTCACCCACAGCACAAACTCCCAGAGCAAGGTGAGTCCAGCCGACAGGAACGATGAGGGGAAACCTGCAAAAGGAAGAATCCAGATCAAGATTTAACACATTAGTTTTGCTGCAGTTCTACAATAAATAAACGACAGCAGAAGCAAAAACACACAACTGCACAGGATGTACTTGAATTGATTCTGAACTCCAGAGTCGAGTTATTTTAACTAAATCAACAAAATCACAGTTTATCACAGCTATGAACCGTAAAAACAGGAAGAATTGTCTGTTTTCCATCAGGCCTTGAACTGCTCGTCTGTGACGCACCGTTTAGTCGGAAAACTGAACCAAATCTAAGCTTAAAATCATGATAACGCATCAAAATCACTTCATTTCATGTGTTTCATTTAAGAGTAGGATACAGATACTCTGTTTGCTTTTACCAGATTCTGTAAAAAAACAAAAATATTCTGAGTTCCATGATGCAGCCGTGAAGCCTTCAGTGACGATCACAGGACAAAAACAGTTCAACTGAAAACACTGAAGTTATCTCAGCTGGATCAGTGATGGTTTCATGGTTGTTTCAAAGAGCTCCGAATATTTTGTTTTTTTTACAGAATCTGATCAGAGGAGATCGTTTAGTTTTGGCAAATTGTTAAATGAGACGTGTAGAATAAAGAGAATTTAATCTGAAATTTGGATCATTTTCCACTGAAACAGCAGGTCACACATGAAGGACGTCCAGGAAGTATAAAATGAGACGTTACTGTCTGTTTTTACCGTTTACCTGATAAATGGTGTCATTTTGGTAGTTTAACATTCAGAGGATTAATCTGTTTTCATAACATGAGCACAGAAACTCTTCTTCTCCGTGACAGCTGCAGCCGTCACAGATTAACTCTCACCTAAAAGATCTTCTTATTGATAAACGTCTGGTATGAATGCTGTTTCTGGAGGTGGTGCCTTCACTGTTTTTGCAGCAGAGACTCCATCGTCGTAAACTAAAGGCAAACCCGTTCTGTGTTTCAGGGTGTCGGGGTGTTGGGCTGGCTGGTGGTGGGCGAGGGGCTGCCGACCGTCCGAGTTCTGCCGGTGCAGCGCTGCCAGAAACACTGCAGCTCCTTCAACCTGTGGCTGACGCCTGGAGACATGGGTACCACCTGCACTGCTGCTCCACACACTGACACCACATTAAAGTACAGCTTAGAACCGTCACAACACACTGGTTCTCTGCCTGAAATAAAAACAAAAAATATCAGACTGATTAGCATTTTTCTACAATTTGTGCAGCAGTAGAGCTTGTTGTCCTGCTGAAACTCCCCCTCACTGATTCCTCACCTGTACGTCTACAGTGTACGCCGACCCCCGGTACTGGCAGATGGAGCTGTTCCCGGGCCGAGGCCAGAACATCATCTGCGACGGATCGGCCTTTTAGCCTCCAGGCGGCGCAGCTTCAGGAGGACTCAGCAGGTCGTCGGTGAATGTTGGAGGCGTTTCGGAGCTCGGCGGCCTTCCTGTGGCTCCGCCCACTGATGCCTTACAACCCCGACCCGCCGTTTTGTTTTGTTTTTTTTTCTCCTCGGACGACTGGAACACCGCGGTTTGGAAAAAGAGATCTCCTGCGGGGTTTCGAGGTTCGAGGACTTGACTTTGTGACTCCTGACTCGTGCCATAACTTAATCATGAAATCATCAGATCGTCGCTCACCTCGGAATCACCAACACCTCCGACTGATTCAGGGGTTTGATCACGAAACTCTTCCCCTGAACGGAGAATTAAAAATGTGCACCCCATGTTTTCGGTGCTGGAACCAGACGCCGGTTTCTAGCCATGTAACCCTCTGAACTCCAAACTGGGTGCTTTTGTTTGCTCCTGGCTCATTTTTCCTCACTGTTGGCTCATTCACAGAACGGCAGAATCAGAAAAAAACGATCAAAAAAGTTGAATTTCTTTGATTACTCTTTTTAAAAAATTATTTTAAAAAATGGATTCAGAATGTACAGTTTTTTTCCAAGTGTCCACAGCTGTTAAAATATGATTAAAGCTTATTAATCTCAAAGGAAGAAATAGAGGCTCTACATGCTACAGATATTTAACTTCACATTTTTAGTTCGTCTCCTCTCTGCTCTGTGGAAACGCTGCCTGCAGTTCAGCTGAAAACTCTGAATTTTTGCCGCACGATTGTTGGCCACAGCTGAGTCACTGATGGCTGTAAAGTTGCAAAGAGGAGTTCAGAATTTTTTGTTTTTTGCAGAATCAGTTTCGAGTAAACGGTTGATTTTTGGCTAATTTTTAAATGCGATAT